TTCACTCTGGAAATGCACCATTACTGGAGAGATGCTGGTTATTCGAAAGAAACCTTGCAGCTGTAATACTTAAGTGCAGTCAGTAACATGACCACTTCGAAACTTACGTTTCTCTATGATTAACACAGACCAACGGATCTGTCATTTTTATCACTCAAAAACAAAGCTATTTAGCCTGGGAAATATATATTCTCCGCCGGAATCTTTGTTTTTTTTTACTTTGAACTTCGTTTGTTTTTTCCTACAAACTGAAGACGTATTAGTTTGTTGTGTATTTTCTATTCGCGCTAAAAATATATGTTCTTCATATTTATTGGATTTGAAGTTTATTCCTGTACCATGTTTCACGAGTAGAGTAATGATTTTCGTGGTTCAGAAAACCATCGAGTCACAAAATGCCTACGAGTATCATAAGTGTGCTGATTTTCCTGTCTTATAATGACGAACAATATCAAGATTATAAAAACCGTATGTCAAAGTTGTGTGACTGGACTATAGGTTATTCCCAAAACGCTCACAAACAACCGTTTGACACTTCACAGTTGCACTATAATTGCAGAAATCTCAGGCTATTGCGAAATATCTAATAAAGTCACCTTGAATATTACATAAAGTATGAAGCTTACCGACTCACGTAAGACCTTATATTTACTATTATGATAAGTTCTGAGAGCTCTTATACTATAGGCTAGCTAATTTTGACGGTCTTTTGTTATTCGCTGCAATTTTCGGCTGCAAGTAAATTCTCTAGTTTTTGGTTTGGTTTTCTATCCCCACAGATTACACAAATTTGTCGGAAAGGTTTGTATTTTGCAGTGGTGCCTCATTCGAAATCTTTGGGTTTCACATGGTAAGAATTTTGTTGCTGGTTTATCAATTCAGTTGGTCCTAGTGATCGGTGACTTCCACATTCCTGACAGGAAACGTTCTTTACATCCTGCTTTTAAGACTCTTTTAGCTCCTGGAAAAATCCAACATATATTATGCACTGGAAACCTTACTTCGAAACATATGTATGACTATTTAAAGCTTATTTGTGGAGATGTGCATGTTGTGAAAGGCGACTTTGATGAGGTATGTTTTGAAAGCTATTGTCATGAAATTTAAGGCTTTAGATTTCCCTCTTACAAAGGTTTTAAGCGTTGGAAACTTTAAGATAGGACTTATACATGGACATCAAATAGTTCCTTGGGGAGACCAAAAAAGTTTAGCTACGCTGCAACGGGAGCTAGACGTTGATATATTGATCAGTGGTCATACTCATAAGTTTGAAGCCTATGAATATGCTGGACACTTTTATATCAATCCTGGTTCTGCTACCGGTGCATATAGCCCTTTTGAAAAGTAAGTACTCCTTCTTTACTTTGTTCGCCAATGACTGAGATTTGCATTGGGATTCAGTATTTATTGATGAATGTGATTAATCAGTAAGCAAACAGCGTAAGATCTAAACAACCTGGATTAGTTCATGCTTCACTGTTCAATAGTGACGAATCATATGTGTATGTTTCCCTTTTCGTTTCTTTTTTCTAAATAGAAACCCGCAACCTTCATTTGTTCTTTTGGATATTCAAGAAACCGCAATACAGTTGTATGTGTACACCCTAGTCAATAATGAACATAAAGTTTCTCGCATAGAATACCAGAAAAACAAATGTTTGTAACTATGAACTAACTGTATTCATTGTATTTTAGCAATATCTTGTAATTTATTTATCTTCTTCCCATTATAATGAAACTGATTTTGACTACATGCATTCTTAACATTTCAAAGTGCTTAATTTTAGTATAAGAGCAGGAGGAATAGCACAATTCCCCGTAATCATTAATGTGAGTAAATCGGCTTCAGTTTTAGCTTTCTGCTTCAAAAACTCCAGATTATATGACCTATTATTCAAAATAGAAACTTGTCCAGGATATTTCTCGTCATTCCTTTCGTAGTAGTGTTATAAAGTGATTTTTCCCCCATGTTACCTTGCGATGTTTTGGAATTTTACGCTTCCTTTCTAAGTCTACTACCTAGCATTTCAATTTTACTGAAGCATATCTACTATATAAATAATTTACATATCGTGTGTAAGACTAAGTGATTCTCAATCATCAACATGGACTTTGTGAATTCTCTACGAGAGTATTAGATTATTTCTCTCCGTGCAAGTAATTGAAAACGCAGTTTTTAGTAGACTGAATGCGAACCGTCCAGGAAACATGTGTACATCTAGGCAACAAATTCCTGTTAAAACTTAGAGAAGAAAATGAAGAAAGATATATTTCCGCACACTGATTGCAAGCTTATATGTCATTAAGGAATTTTAACGGATCCCGACCTTTTCCAAAAATTGGACTAATGACTATACTGTGCCTCTGTATTTTTATATTACAGTTACTCAATTACCCTGCTGCATAACTAGAAATCCTCAAACAGTATTTATCAAAACATAGTGTAATCGTCTGTAGATTGCAAATGATATTCTGAGATGCTGTTTGCGGAGATATTGAGCCCACTCTTATTTCATATTCATTTAGATAGTCAGCTACGATCTACCAAGCGGCATAGCTGGAACCGGTTATCCACAAGATTCTCAGCACCGATATCTATCCAGAACCTGAGTCGGTTTTAAACTGGCTTTTGCAACGAACTGATTATAGTGAAGTGACAGCTAAGATTAACTTTATTAATCTACCGTTACTGTTTCGCAAACAATCAAACTTATTCACACTTTTTTGCTACACAAAAGTGCATGGAAACCAGTTTCCGATGGTTTTGTTTTAATATTATCCGATATAACGTAAGAATGTCACTATTACTGTACATATATACTTATAAGTTAAGGTCTTGCGACTGGTGTATAAAGGTTTAAATACGAGACAGTAAAACTACATAGTAGTAGCTGGCATTTGCTCTCCCAACATCAATAACACTGCCGTAGGTTGAACGTTGTAAATGGTGCTTGTCTAGGTGAAACTGATGTATTGCATAGGTAGGAACGAGGATTTTATTTCGAAACATGACTTGACACTCCTAAGTGTAAACTCGTACTATAAGTTTTTGGTTTCTGGCCAATGAAGATATTCCTAATAGGCACTAAATAATATAAGGACTGACAATTACGAATCATAATTTCAGATACTACGGCACTTTTCAAAGAGCCGGTCACAATAATGTAGTAGATAGGCAATGCGAACACAGTAGACAACTGATGTTGTGGTCTATTATTGGTTTCATGTGATGGTGTAGTAATTATTACTTGCAAAACCGCATTATTAGAGCAGAACTGTTGGTTGTCACTTCCAAAACGGTAAAAATAATAAATACAAAAGTAAGCACAATTCAAAGTCATTCAAACACTAGAGATTGTAGAATATGCATTGCGGAAGTAAATTATTTGCTTTGAATAGTTCGATTTACGGTAATGCTTGTGTTGTTTTCATTACCCCGATGACATTTTTTGCCTGATGGCAGGTCAATCTAACCTAGTGTCCCAATGGCAAATAATGACAAAAGCTCAGTAAAAATACCTCAAACATTTTATTATTTTTATTTTAACACATATTGGTACAAGGAGGCACCAAATACATATGCGCCACACAAATCTCATTCGATATGTGTGAGGGCTGTGATACTGCCCGGGTGCCCAGACCGAAGCAGGTGGCTTCTTAGGGGGCCAAACCCCGAGCCTTCGACCTGAAGGTCTGATCCACAAGGCAGTGGAGCATCGTAAGGAGATGCCGTCCCATGGAAGCCAGTGGCCAACAATTGGTTCATACGCCATTTGTTCCCGCAGGATACTGGAGCCCATGTGCACCATTGGTTTGGGATCCGGTTAAAGCGCCGGATATTCGCTTTTTGTCCTCTCATTTTCGTAAACTAAACCCCCGCCACGAGAAGGCAGTGAGTAGGACTTCCCTGGCAGAGGCTATATACGCGTGGCCATGTGAGAGCATTTCGAGAGGGAGAGCGGACTCTCTCCACTCTCGGCCGTACCAGGGCATTTGGAGGCCGTCAAACATTTTGGGTCCTTTTATCACGTGAGTAGTTTCTAAGTGTAAGAATAGGTACATGTTACAGTAATTAAGTAGCTTTGAAGTAAAGGAAAGGTCGAATTTATGGTGAGTCAACTGTAGAGAGGTCTGTGACCAACGACTTCTTACAAATTGTGCACTTTACAATGTATATGTATTATATGAACAGAGAAAGCTGAATAAATGATACAGTGATAATCTGTCGAGAACGAAGTAGACTGGCTTCCGCTTAGTTTATGATATTAGGTGGATAGCTTTTCACCCGGATTGCAAACATTAAAACAGTGAAGTTTAAAGTGAGTTGTTATGTATATATATATATATACTCATTGTTATAAGTTTATTGTTTATGATAAAGAATCATGCTGCACATCAGATGGAGGATAATGTCAGCCACAGGAACATCCAAACAGTGACTGATTGTGAGGGCAATATTTGTCAACTATTGATGGGATGTGAAACGGATGGATATCAAAAACGTCTATCACAGCAATCCTGTGCAGAAAGTAGCAATATCCTTTGAGTTTCCTTAAGCCTTGTAAAGTGAAGAATTTGTCGTGTGTTGCAATTTCCAACTTAGCAGTAAAACTTTGGGTTGAACACTGACAGGTTGCTTCTACTTAAATCTAGTCAGTATCTGTGTTTGGATATATATGAAAACGTTCTAGTGATTACAGCCATTTTTGGTTCTCAATATCGATCACATTATGTTCTCACGATATGGAAACTTCATACTAACAACAACTTTAATTTACTCATAATTGGAATGCTCAACGAATGATTACTTTTCATGGGGTTAGGATGAAATCCAAGCAGATACGAGTCAAAGACAGTAGGTTAGGTATGAATGGTAGTTTTTTCTACTATAATAATATAGGCCAATATCTTTATACTGAGACGTAAAAATCTGTGACTTATTACCGTGATTATTCAAACACACCGTGACAACTAGTTGGGTTAATAAAAAGTAACGAAAAGCTTGTTGAACAAATGAATTCAAACGGTTCCAATTTTCGTATAGTTAAAAAGCTACTCACAGTCTATTTCACTTAAATATACAAGATATATACAGTAAAAAAGGGATAATTGTTCATTCATCTTTTTCATAGTGAATGGTAACTTTACGCTTCTTTTTAGGATTTGTCAGAACAAGATTATGTTCAGCTTCCTCTTCTTCATTTTCCTCATCGATCACTCCGATATCTTCAATATCTTCAACGTCAGATCCTGAAGTGTAGGCGATTTCTTCTTCTTCTTCCTCGTATTCTTCATCAGATTCTTCTTCATTTATTTCTTCAGCTTCCAGAGCCTTTTCAAAGGCAGATTGATCTATGTTATATATTTCCTTGGAAGATGTTGATGCGCGTAATCTTTCTAAGAGTTCTTGTTCTACAGTACGTTCAATGCGTGCTACACGTAATGCTTTTGCTTCTCTCCTTAATTCACGTTTTTCAACCGTACGATTAATAGGTTCTAATTTCTTTTGTCTTGATAAGGCCAAACGCCGCATATTTTTAAGATATTCTCTTGTGCGAAAAAATCTCTGCTTAACACGACTTATTATCCATTTATCCCAATATAATAAGTGCTCTTTGATTTGTTTCAGAGCTTGTTCTTTATTCCGGCGCAATTTAATCCGCTCCCACTGTTTGCCAGGATAAGGTATACGTTCAGGTTCCTTGACATACAGGTAGATGATACCATCTCTTTCTTTTATAGTGGCATACTGTGAGTTGGCTAATGGGCAAGAATGTCGATTACACAATCCTGTCACATTGTCATCATTTCTGCAAAACCTTCCTGTTTTAGTTTTGACAACAAAAGAACAGAATGAATGGTTGATAGTGTGCCATATTACGTCGTCGTTATTCATTTCTTGAAAAAGCAAAAAAAGTTATAAGAACATGAATAACAATCATATTTAAACAAAAAAGTAGTTTTAGGTTTTTAAGTGACTGCAAATTGTATTATTTATTTTCGAATGTTAAGCTAAAGGTCTATTTATTCTTAAATGAATAATTTAGACACAGAACTCGATTATCGTGCAATATTGTTACGACATCTTATACCAATGATAACAGAGCGACTTATTTACCAAGTGGATATTCGGATATTTTGAGCTAAACTTTTCGTGTGCAAGGTACTTGAATTGAAGTGGATGGATATATAGTACAGTCCGGCTGAAAAGTTATAATATACACTGAAAAAACCAAAAAAACTTCCGTCATTCCTGACAAGACTCTATCAGACAACACCTCATCAAGGTTGATGAGATACCTCCGAGAAAAATCAAGTGATCGGGACGCTCGGCTGCTTTACTTCCCACTACCAGTTTAGGTGTTCATTCAAGCCCGTTTCGAAGTAAAATTTTGCATTTGGAGGAAACGCAACCCACCACAGACATACAAATATTGTTGCTTGAAGCAGTTTGAAGACTGTTTTCTTATAAGATACACGATGAGACTGTTATAGCTGAATGTCTAAGCAAAATTAAAAAAACAAAATAGGAAAAGCGAACAACCTTGGCGAATACTATTTGAAATATTAACTTTGGTGACAGTTCGCCACAATTTTTACCATCATCAGCAGTGTTACCAGATTGAATTTACATAATTTTTAAAATTTCACGGACAGGTAGTTATTATTCATGTGTTCAGAACGTCTAACTGAAAATTCATTCTTTATTGGAGAGCTTACTTGAATACTTATGCCCCTTACTACTCGTGAGGCATAGGCCACCTGTTAGGATTATCCAAAGAACCTCATCCTAGGCTCTCATTCTCAGCTGTTTCCGAGTGCCATTCATTCCTGCCTTTGATTCTCAGAGCAATATGTTCGTCAATTTCTCTTTCTATATTTTCCCTTGAGGATTCCAAGTTAGGGCTCTCCTCGTGATACAGTTTGATCTCCGTAATGTATGTCCTACCCGCCTCAAGTGTCTTCTCCTATACAGTTGGAAGCTGGTTTGTTCTGTCATAGTTTGTTGCTGACAGTATTTAGCTGACGCATCTAGAGTATCTTGCGAAGACGACTTTTTGTAAATACTTGTAATTTTGTGACGATGAGTATGGTGTTCCTCTAAGTTTCAACATACGATTAAGTACAGAAATGAGAAAAATGGGTGATCGGACCGAGGGGCAAAGCATAAAACAGACTTAGCCATCTTAAATCGTTCTCGCTCGATTGCACGCCAAGTCACATCGAAAAAAGCATTTTGTCTAAACCCTACTAAAGCACTCCACGAAATGTTTAATACCTGAAGAATCGCACATCACAGAGCGAACACTCAGGTACGGCCATACTTTTGTCTACTACGAGTCACCCCTACATGAAAAATCTCTCATATGATGCTAAAAAATCCCATTTATTTGACTTCATCAAACCCACCGCTTTCAGAATTTCACCTGGTACAATTGTGACTAATGAACGCCTTGTAACTTATGTACGACTACAGTTACTGCTGTTACCGTTGATTTTAAACGTCTGAGTTGACAAATACCCAATTTTTAAAATCACATACGGCTGACAAATCGGTGAATTTATATTTGCGTTAAGACAAGTACAAGAAATCATACAATGTATATCATATATATATAATGTATTGTACGCACCATTATAATCTACCAAACATTTAGTCGCAACCCCACAAAAGGTACCGAAAAATCTTAGAAGTATTAGTTTTAGTTGTTTCGTGTTAATACATCTTAAACTGATAATGATTATGCAAAATAGAAAACCGAATTTAGATGTGCCACATTCCTTCAATAATTCTGAATATTTATGTTGATATTAGTCTTATCAACTGAAAACATTGTGTAGAAAGTCTGAGAACTGGGGGATATAGGTGAATGAGGTGCTACGGCAATTCAAAATATACTTTGATCGACGTCTACAAACCATGCTTGCACTTACCATAGCGAACTATTCAATAAACCCGGTTTTTATTTCCAATAAATTAATAAGTGAAATTTCCAGTTCAGTGAATTTAATTTCATGTTAGTCGTTTAACTTTATATCCTGTGAGCGGTAGGCTCAGGAAACGGCTTTTAAGCAGGTTAAGGTATTTATTACTCGGACATCAGAAATTAGATATTATGACTTGACAAAACCAACTGGGTATCTAATTAAACATTTACTCCTCGTGAGGCATAGGCCACCTGTTAGGATTATCCAAAGAACCTCATCCTAGGCTCTCATTCTCAGCTGTTTCCGAGTGCCATTCATTCCTGCCTTTGATTCTCAGAGCAATATGTTCGTCAATTTCTCTTTCTATATTTTCCCTTGAGGATTCCAAGTTAGGGCTCTCCTCGTGATACAGTTTGATCTCCGTAATGTATGTCCTACCCGCCTCAAGTGTCTTCTCCTATACAGTTGGAAGCTGGTTTGTTCTGTCATAGTTTGTTGCTGACAGTATTTAGCTGACGCATCTAGAGTATCTTGCGAAGACGACTTTTTGTAAATACTTGTAATTTTGTGACGATGAGTATGGTGTTCCTCCACGTTTCAATAGCTTACAGTAAGACCGTCTTGACCTTTGTATGTAAAATTCCGACTTTGATGTTGGCTAACAGTCGGTTTGAATTGTATGTGTTCCGCAATTCTAGACGTGTTGTTGTTGCTTTGTCAATCCGTGCTTTTACTTCTTCGTCAGATGCTGCTTGTGTATCGATTAGTCTGCCCAGGTACGTGAAAGACTCCGCATCTTCCATAGCTTTTCCGCTAAGTGTGCTCACTACGTTGAATTATGGGATTTCTCTATGTTCCTTATGCATGGTGAGGCCTACTGATGCATAGGATGCTGCTACGGTTTCTCATGTTTATTTGTTGGTGTTAATGCTATGGGAGAGAGAAATCATCCGCGAAGATTAAAATGTACAGCTGCTGTGTTCAAAATTTCAACTATATTCCTCATATAGAGAGCCAATCAGAAGTAGCCTGGTGAGGAGTTGTGGAGATAGGTCTGGCAAGCTTATTTTGTAAATAGTTTTTAATATTATTGGTATTTATTTTGTCAATTTCTCACTACATGTACATTTATCATTAAATGATTGTACCTTTTGTTTTAGTAAATGACTTTGAACACACTTTCCGTTGTGATACTAACATAGCATGACATACCATTGCTGGCTAACAAATACACTGCCTCACACATTCCTCGTTCTATTTTCATTCGTGACTAAGTTAACTGACATCTAAAACAAATATTATTTACGTTCATAAACTGTGAGTACGAATACCTCATACCTTGCTTTGGATTACACCACTGGAGAGTTCATCAACACGTTTGGAATTACCAAGCATCTATAATTGCGGATTTATTGTAACAGATTAAAGCTGAACACGCATCATTTTGGGGTGAACTTAAGTAAAGTCCCATTTTTATTGTATTTGTAACATTTAACTGGTATATATTAATATTACTATTGATTTTTATTAACCTTGTTGATACTTTTTGCGTTTATATTTCGTCTGGTCCACCACAATTATTTGGTGAACCTCGTGTTTATCCTAACTGTTATATTGTTTATCATTTCCTACAATTTACTAGTTTATTTTTTTCTCGTAATGTCCTCTCCCACTAAACTCATTGATATGGATTTGCCTCCAGTAACGACTTTTGTCTCATTGTCGAACTCTCCTGAAAATAATTTTAGTTCAGTTAATTCTATCTCAGAATTCAGACTCCCAACTTATGGAGCTAATAATCCAAGAGTCTGGTTTGCACAAATTGAAGCTTTGTTCATGGCTAGAGGCATGAGATCTCAGGCGACAAAGTATGCATATGTAGTCGGCTTACTTCCTATTGAGATTGCCGCTGAAGTCTGGGATTTAATCGATCACGTGCGAGATTCCGAACCATATGATAAGATAAAAGCAGCAGTAATTCAACGTACATCGGTCTCAGATGAGAAAAGGCTACAACAACTTTTCGGCTACATGAAACAACTCGCCGGTCCATAAAAGCTAGACGAAGTCCTCCTAAAGCAAATGTGGTTTCAAAGATTACCACACAGCGTTAGACAAATTCTCAGTGTTTCAGGGAAATCCGTCACACTTGATGACTTAGCCGACATGGCGGATAAAATGATAGAAGTCTACCGTGATAGTCACTGTGTGAACTCATTGCAACCACCTGGACCAGCAGATATTAGCTGTTTAGTCTTCTTTCAAAATCAGTTAACGCAATTAACGAGCCAGCTGGCGTCACTGCAATCGACCATGGCAACCATCCAAGCTAGTCAATCGAGATCCCCCTCCAAACGAAGGTCTTTTTCCAGACAACGGTCTCGGTCACCGAAGCGGACATCTGAAGTTTGTTGGTACCACCAAAAATACGGCACCAAAACACGGCGTTGCACACGACCGTGCACATTTTCTGCGGCTGACACAGAGAATCAGGGAAACAGCCCGGCCAGACAGTGATGGCGGCGCCTGTTTCTGGCCACTACCCGAGCCGTCTATTTCATGTCAGGGATCGAATTTCGGGCTCAGATTTGTTGGTCGATACAGGAGCCGAAATCAGCATCATCCCATTACACCTCTCTCATTGACGGCACCCCCAGAGTACTAAATTGTCTCTAGTCGCAGCCAATAACATAGTCATTAAAACTTATGGCGAACAATCACTTATCTTAGATCTCGGTCTCCGGAGACTTTTCACATGGGTTTTTATCGTAGCTGAAATCAAACAACCCATTCTCGGGGCCGACTTTCTCAGTGCTTACAACCTACTCGTAGATATGGGGAAAAAGAAACTAATCGACAAAAACACAAGCTTACAGGTCAGTGGCACAACTATCTCCAGTTACGAAATCCATGGAGTCCGTATGTTTAAACCTGAAAACAAAATTTTCACCGATATCCTGTCAAAGTATG